GATTCATCCATGAGGCTCAGAAGTAACGCTAGGCTAATTTTAAGCCTGATGTAATTTATTAAGAAAGCAAATATTGCTTGTTGTTCTTCTGCCATACAGCTCGTTACGATGAATCTTGCTCATTCGTCGGTCCACGTTTCGAACCACTTGTCGTCTTCATAACCTTAGCAGTTCTCCCAGCGCCACAAGTCCGCTTACTTCCATCAACAGCTGCGAGAAAATGGCAGAAAAGCAGCAAACAATATTTCCAACATACCCAGCTTTCAAGAAGACCAAACATGAAATCTTCAAAGAAAACAAAGTTGTTAACAATCATTCCAGAGAAGATTTTGCTTACAGAAAGGCCTCTAAATCTCTACGAAAGCTGCGCCGCTTCAACTTTGATAAAGACACGCTACGTCAGGTGCCGGGAAATGTGCAACGAATGAACAATGCTCGTGTGAGTGCATGACGCAGAATTGAACAAGCCGGTTTTAACAGTCCGATGAGTGACCGCTACCGTAATCCACGTTGGCACTGGAGCGCGCAGCTACACTACTGCTGTGTACCCACACGTTTCAGCACCAACGTGAGAGGGTATAATGCCTCGCTGGCGAGTGCACAATACCCCCTCCACCACAGCCGCCCTTGGGCGACTATCCAAAAATACACGCAGCGCTCGCCTCGCCGCTTCTCGCGCAGCGTAAGGCCGACGCCATACTTTGCGAATCGCGCGATTCGCAAAGTCTGACATCGGCCTAAGGAAGGTTGACCCTGGGGTGCCGCCAAACCCCTTGCCGGCAAGTTCGACTACCTGCCACACTCCACCTATATACCAGCACAGACGCTCCGTACAAGAGCCAGGTTCTATCACGTCCATTTTGTCGCCGTGGAGTGCGCGGAAAAACGACAAAAGGGCACGTCGAATTCAAATCGATGACACGTGGCATCGCGCGCCAACCAGTCACGTGTTACGGTTGCGGTCACTCATCGGACTTCGTAATCTCACTAATCAGAATTGAGCCCTCTAATTCGTTCTTAGGATCTGAAACTTATTACAGAACATGTATAAGAACAAATGTCAGCGGAGAACATCCGATGCTAGCAACTATAACCAACTCGACAACCAGGTGAGAAGTTTTGAAATCTCAAAGAAGAAAAGAAGCCAGTTTGATTTTTTATACATACAGAAACAGAAATTTTATACAGAAATTTTAGGATTGGGTTTTTAAATTATTATTATCAATATTTCGGCATTGAAAATCCCCTCTTGTTTCTGCCAAAGGCGAAGTTAAGATCTACGAAGAAGTTTACAAAAACATTCCAGGAAATGTTTCACAAGAATGCTGGATTGTGAACAAAATTTTCGTCCCAGACGAGACTCGAGCCTCTTGCTTACCGGGCAAGTGCGCAAGGCGAAGTGCGGCCAAAAACAGTAGTTACCAAACAAAAACAAGTCAAAATTCCTGGAAATGTATTCAGACATTTCAGTCCAACAGAAAAGTGGTCCAGAAAACGAGCCCAGACAATCCGCTAGCACCATCAAGCACAAGGGATGTTCCCAGCTTTCCATACCTTGATACGGTGGATTTTTTAGTCGGAGGTTTTGGGCCAGAGAAAGCACCTGCACTTGTCAGAGCCATCCAAGTTTTAGGGTTCTCCTGGAGATTAGAAATCTCGGGGCAAAACTGATAACCACTACCAGCGAGCTGCATACGGTGGCTCATCAAAGGTCTAACGAAGTGGGTGAAGGCTATACATAGACGATCATTTTGAGAGCTGCTCACATATTTTTGATCGAAATGTCTGTGCTAGATAACGTTAATACTTATTAGGTTGGAAAGAAAGTCCTGCAACACTTTTTCAAATTTTTGATTTTAATTTTATCTTTTTTGTTTACAACTCCTGACCGGTCATATATCTACCATGAGTGTCCACCACTTGTCTTCAACGCTCAGAAAATTTCTTGATGCTCCTTTGCCAAAACCCAGCGGAGTGCGGTCGAGAAAGGAGGCGACCTCACTTTCGAGTTGGAGTTGATCGTCTAATTATTTCGTCATCAAATACGATAAGGAAGGTTAGAAATCTTGCCGCAGCTCCAGAATTTCTTACCGGGCTATTCCGGATTATGGCGATTTGCAATGTCATGAAAGAAATAAATATTGTCGCGGTACGAGGGCTCCTGACGAGCTGCCTCGGCCAGCTTCTGGAGTTTCGCAGCCTAGACCTCCACCTACACAATGGTGCCCATAACGAAGAATTTGTAGTGGAGCTTTCGTGAGAGCCCTATCTGTAATGGAGTGTGCGGGACGCTGCTGGCTCCTTATAAAAATATCAAAAGATCGAAAGGTGAAACACGCTGTAGCGGTGAACGGCATGCCTATTGAAGCTATTGCAGATAGTGTCGGTCGTTGACACGAATCCATAGTTATGGAGACATTTGTACTAGACAGTGACTCGGAGTACGGATTTACTAGTGGTCGAGGTTTTTTGAATTTTCTTGGATAACTACTGACTGCAGCACTTATATCCACCTCGTGGATTGAAGCCTCGAGAATGCTCTACCATTTGTCATAAATGTTACCTATGAATTTTTCAGAAAAAAAGAAAATTTGAGAAAGAGTGTTGCAGAACTTTCTTTCCAACCTAATAAAATTGATTTATGAAACTTGGTTTCGAAAACAAGGTCAAAAAATTAGTGATTCTGTCCCATCCTCCCTATGGTCCTGCGAAAGGGTCATTGTCATTGGTCATCAATCAGCTCAAAAATAAAATAAAACATAATTTTGTGATTCGATAGCAAACACCGCGCACCTAGTCCAACAGCAGGTTTGGCCAAATCGTGGTAAATACATGTGACACCTCTAGGGCGCTGGCAAGTATGTACCAGGGACTAGGGTATTAAGTACTCCCCTGGCCCGGAATAAGAATGGCATTTCACCAAGCTCCAGTTGATTTCCCAACGTGAATTGCCCGAAATATTCGTGAGCGTGGGCGCATGCAAAAATAAATGTGCTAAAAGTCAAAAAGTCTGCTAGAATTCTACCGCATAAAAATAAGTGACTCGTGTGGATTAGTCCGCACATCCACTCGGACCGTCTCATGGGTTAAGGGTTGCATCACTAAGCGTTAAGCTCCATTGTGCCTCGAAGTAGATACACTTTTGCGGAGCAGGCAAGTAAGCAGGTATGAAATATGAAAGCGACTAGGTCACAACGGTGGATCATCGCGATCGAGTATTATCCTCAATTTTTACTGGTTGGCAATGTGAACGGTAAAATAGCGCCGCGCGACGTGACACCAGGTACCGATAGAAGGCCCTTCTTGCGGCGAGAAGGCAGAGACGCATGACTGGTCAGTGAGACGAAGTCGAGCGCGTTACTGTAAACAATATACAATAAGCTTCAACATTAGAAGAGAACATGGCAGCCCGCCGCCACACGCACAACACTCGCTGCGACTCTTCCGCTGATCCGCCTGCATCTCTGCCTTCTGTCGGGTACCCCCGATGTACATCCAATATGTGCCGTAATGCGACTCACTGACAATACTTGACACCCTGTTTTCAGTTTGCCGATGACAACGACGATAAGGAATGGTACAGTCCGAAGAATCCAAAACGTGTAGCCAGAGTACAAAGCACCATGGATGCGGCCAGTCAGTGCATCGAAGACTATTGCGGATATTGACACGATCCACATTGAGAACCTGATGAGATCAGGCAGTTGGAACTGGTTTTCTTTTAATAAAAATTGAGACCATTGCTAAAGTATTCAGAAGCATCGTAGCCAGCTTGTCCGCTGCCTCCCAAAGAGAGAAGAACTTAATATTCAGAAGCATGGAAAATTCAAAAAGAAACACTAAATGGGCCGAGAGAATGGGTGAAGCAAGTAACCGCTGCGCCCGACAAAGAAACGCGTCGGGCGCAGACCACGCACAGAAGTGACGACGGCCTCCAAATAAATCTGACAACTAGTGGCTCATAGTTAACGTTGATAGTTGCAAGTGATATTTATAATGAGTGACACTGACAGGGAATCCACGCAAACGAACTAATCATCCCGTTGCGGACGAACATTTTACATTGGTGTAGACTGTCGCCATTTGTGTTTAATGGTCTTGCACTCTGCGCAATTTCTGGATTCTCGAATAGCATAGTAAATAGTGTATTTTAGGCTTTCGCTCAGTTGGGCGTTGGTTGACTCTCACTCCTCGCTGTACTCTCTTCTTCATCTGTCATTCGGTCCAAAGTACGACACCAGTTGTTTCCCTCCTAAACTCTAGAAAAAGCTTAATTTGGGCATCTCAATTTTTTCATTTTTTATTATTCATGGGGCGGAAGTGGTGTAGTGACAAGTGGCACGCTTACCACGCGAGCGGTCCGGGGATCAAATCCTGGGTCGTGAGTCGCCCGGGCCAACCAAGCCTTCCATCCCTCCGGGGTCGGTTAATTGGTACCAGACTTGTCTGGGAGGATAAAAAACACTGACTTGTACATCGGCTGGCCCCCGCAAGTCATTGTATAGGCCACATCGCATTCAAACGCCACTACGAATGTACAAATGGAAGTAGAATGCGTGCCGCATCCCAAAAAGGGATTGATCAACGGCAAATGCTTTATCCTTTATCCTTTATCCTGTCGATGTCCATATTCGTGCTTGTTCTCTGCTATTATGCAGTGCCGATAAAAAGTAAAAAGAAATCTATTTGTGATTTTTAGCCCCTCAAATGATGATCAAATAATTACCAAACTTTCTATATCGCTCTTCTCGGAGATCGGCTCTTCTGCTCATGGCAATTAATTTCAACCCAAACGGTTTTTCTCCCAAGGAGTAGTTGAGTGAGTAGGCGGCATGTCGACCGCTTCTAGTAATTTGGCCTCTTAGCGAGTTCAAAACGTCAGCAAGTGAAGCCCTCGCTGGTTAATTGCCAAACTCCCTCGCGGTCACGCTCTTTGGAGAGCTCGTTGATTCACTGGCATTTCCTCAAGAAGAATGGGATGCAGGTACGATCAATAGCTATCTGAAACACGTCCATGTGGTTCGTCAACAAAAACAAGACGCTTTCCTCCTTTAATTATGTGTCACGTCTAGACGAACAAAGATAAACAAACATCTCAAGGTTGACCACCTCTTCGACCATTTGCGGGAAATTTGCCAAAGAATGGAATCTTAGGTCCACCAGCTTAGGTTCATTATACATACCAAGGTGGAATAGGGGGGGGGGGGGACAGAGCAGACTAAGTAATTCTCAAGAGTCTCTTGTACTGCCCATAGCACGTGAATCCAGGCCATGTTCCTTATGGTAGTTTATCGTAAAAGCAGTGGCTTCGGGCTCGTGGGATTTCAGTACTCGGAAGTGAAGCTTCCATAAGTACTTACTTATGCTTACTGTTCTGGACGTGCGTCAAGTGCATGGCGCACCCCAAGGAGAAGAGAGTAGCCGTGAAGTGATAAACTGACTGACGGACAAAACCGTAATAACTTCGTATAGCATACACTTCGTAAGAAAAGTGGTCCACATCCCCCCTCCTCATTTCCCCCAGTCACGGGGTTTTAGAGCTCTACGTGCGGAGCTGACGCATCTTTTGCTTTTGACAAGTTATTGGTGAAATACGGATGACTTCAGCTAATCAATCAACTCGTCCATTGACAAATCGTCCAGAGGTCAATCGAATAGTAGCTGTCGTTATTTGCTACTACTACTGCCGCTCGCACTCCATACAAGTTTACTGAGCTTTTTCGTCGCAGGACTCGCACTAACCAACCGTAGATGGCCGTTGATGGATTGCAACGGAGCACGCGACTTCCACATGTCACATGTGGTCGATCTAAGATGGTTGCTCACTCAAATTTTCACATTTCTCTCTTTATAAAGGCTTACCAGAGTGGCTCAACAATTAACATGGGACCGAAAAGGAAATGCATAGGCGTAACACGAAGCGAGCTGATTGGACGCCAATGAGCCTCCACTCATCATCTCGTCTCATTTTTGCCACATTTCTTCTCCACTTGTTCTTGGTTGTTAGTAGCTGTTTTTGGCCGCAGTTCGCTTTGCAAAAGTTTCACAAGAATGTTAGGTTTTAACAACTTTTTCGCCGTAGGCAGGACTCGTACCCGCATCTCTCGCTCCGGGGTACTGCGCTGTAAGTTGCGCTAATGGGCACCTCTTTCGGCTTATTTGAAGCCCTTCATGGGTATTCCCCTTCTCTTTCGGAAAACAGAAGAGCGTCGAGTGCAGACCACACACCAAAAGTGACGACGGCCAAGAAGAAATTGGCTTTTTCTTTGCTTTTTTTCTTGACCGTCGTAACTTGTGGTGTGTGGTCTGCACTCGATGCTCTTCTCACCGAGGGAGCGCAGCATTCACAGTATAAGGTGTGAACCAGCAATTCGTTGCCCCACAAATGAATAATAAAATTGAATAAATCCATAAAGAGATTAGATGAAGAGAATAATTGTACTGGAATCTCTTAAATTACACAGGTACCAAATCTAACAGGAATGATTGGGAAATGAAGAGTAAGTCCTGAAATGAAATCTAGTCAATTTCGAAAAGAATTTCGCCTCAGTTCTCCAATTTTCTTTTGTCCAGTATGAGTAGTCCTCTAAATAAATCTGCCGATTCCATTTTAGATCGGTTCCGTCTGGATTTAAATTGTAAACTGTATGATGTATTATCATAGCGATGAGGATATCAGCGTCCGAGGCAAGCTTCGCACCATATGCATGCTATACATTAAAGGAATCTTGCGCGGAAAAATCATGATTCTATTTCAGCCATAAATCACTGGCTTGAGACTCATTATCCACGATAATAGTGAAAAGAACTGAAGTATTGCTTTCGTTTTGATTAGAAATTCGAAAACTCGAAAAGGCTGCTACGCGTTCGAATTGCCCACGGACGTCTTTCACGAATGCTGGCGACGGGGATGCTCAAACTTGGTTCTTGGAGTGCATTCACTAGAAGCTCTTTCTGGCCTTCTGCTTCGTTGCATTCACATCTTACACTTCTACTCCATCCTATTCCATCGATCGATTTGTCTCCACTCTCCGAAATCGCGCGCTTTAACCCGATTCTCTCATTGCGTCGCCTGGTACGTAGCCGGCCAAACGCCGTCTTCTTTCCATGCCTCGCCTGGCTCTGCCTCCTGGTCCTTCGATGGTCCATAACGTGTAGTTTTTGTACGTTTGTTTCTCTTCAGAAACCGAATCTTCATGCGTGAAACTTTGTGTGCTATTTCCAGTGATCACAACTGACATATTCATGTTAGGAAAGAGTGCAAGAATTTTCCGCGCAAGATTCCTTTAAGGCTGGGATCGTTACTAGAATAAGGTTAATAGTGTCGGGGTCTGTGCTTTGACACCTGCCCCGCACAATTCACGTGGGAGAATAAAAACACTGTCTCGTAAATAGGCTGGTTCCCGGAACTCATTGTATGGGCCAAATCGCATCCAAATGACCATATTACAATTCTGAATGGACATAGATTGCGCGGCATTTCCAAAATTGGAGTGGTCAACGGTGGATACTTTACCATTTGTCCTTATTTTATTTATCCATGCGAGAGTGTTATTTACTTCCACTCTTTTTCGCGAATTTTGCACGGGTGAGTCTGTCTTTTAAAAGGCAACATAGTAGTAGGTTTCGGTTAACATTTACGCAACCGCCTGGCTGGATAAATTCGCAGTTTCAGTAACAATGCTGGGCTTGTAGTTTGAATTTCGAGGGGGGGGATAGGCACCTGTTTGAGCTTCTTCAAAACCAGGGATAAGGAGAAGTGTTTTCATAACACGTAATCGATCCATTTAAAACTACTTTTAATAAAACTGGGAAGTGGGAAGTACTCTTAAGGTAACTCCAGGTTCCAGGCTGCTGTGGTTCAAGCAAATGGTCCTGAACTAGGATATAACTTTCCCTAGGCGCAAGGGTGCAGGAGCCCAGGGTGGATGATGACATACCATAAATTGCCTAGGATGTGAGCAGGGTGTGCGCGATGGAGAGCATAAACCGGTCCTTATCAAAAATGCACTTGAATGAGTCGTTTACCTATTACCTTATCCATAGGGTTAAAGTCCAAAGGAGTGCTCTCTAGTATAACAGTACGGATAAGATAACAGGGAGTGCCCCCCCCCCCCGAACTATAATTTCACAGGGTTGATCGGGTTGTAAACAAACTTTTGCCCCAGGTCCGAGTCCCGCCTGGGACTTGTGTTCACCCAGTATTGTTGTGAAACGCTCGCCACGCGATATGCGGCGTTAAAACAGCAGCTAAGAAACAAAACACGTCATAGAATGCATTCTTAGCTAAGAAACAAAAACACGTCATAGTATGCATTTAGAAAAGTGCGTGCGTAACTTCAAAGGGAAGAAGTATGCGTGGCGCGTTCCGGCATATGTTACCGTTTACTAATGTTGGCCGCTAATATTTTAATATTTTGTTTTTATTTTCTAGTCTGAGCGAACTTCTATGCTTCAGTGATCGTACACCATACGTAAAGATCCCGGAAGTGTTTCGAATAACGCCCCATCGCTGCCAACGCATGGCTCCGCCCACACATGTGTCAACGCAGCGCGATGATGTCGACTTCAGTCTCGGTCTGGCAATCTTGCACAAATGTCACTTGCACCTCTCCTATACTTTCATCCTAATGAAACTTTACTATTCGTGACGTGGATGATCCATCAC